AAAAAAAAAGAAAAAGAAAAAAAAGCATATTGCATTACACAGTAGATGATTTGGCATTAATCGTGCTTTCTGTGTTTTTCCATATCATCTCACCTCCCGCAAAGTTTTACAACTCAGGAAGAAATACATTTCCTTCTGCAACTCATTAGAACTACAGGTAGAGTAAAGCACACCTCACTACAAACATAAAAGCTGAGAGGAAGTAGAGGAAGCATGTTTGTTGTTTTCTTACCGATCGTGGTGGTAGTGGTAGACGTGCCCTCTACAAATACTGTGTCAATGTTGCTGAAAAGCTGCTGTTGGACACCGGGAAGGTCAGCAAAGTCACTCACTGAGAGTGCATAACTAGGCTCATGGGAGATCCTCTGGAGTTCCCTGCTGTCTGAGCTCCTTGACCCTATCCCAAAGATAAGCACTCCCAGCTCCTTCAGGGATGAGGCCGGTGTGTCAACATTATCAAATGACCTTCCACCACTCAGCAGAATCAGTAACTGGGGCACACCTTCTACACGTCTGCTTCCAGAGGAGGCGGTGAATACATTGTCCCTCACGTACTGCAGAGCTGCCCCCGTGTTGAGGGGTCTCCCTCCTTTGTGCCTCAGACCCCTGACCGTGTCAAGAATGTCCTCCTTTCTTGAGTATGTGTTAAGATAGAAATGGGCCTCTGTATCTCTGCTGTACTGGACCACGGACACACGGTCTCTGTTCTCAGACACATTCAGTCTCTCCACCATCCTTTCAACAAAGTCGCGCATCGCAGGGAAAGAGCTCCTAGTGCCATCTGAACCATCCAGCAGGAACACTACATCCCTCTTTCGCTCAGCTACGGGAAATGAAATGGAACACACAGTCACGTGAGCACTCGGCATCTGATATTGTCTGAAGGTGTATGCGTGCTCTAGCTGGCAACCAGAGGTGGAAAGTAACTAATTACAAATACTTTTGTTACAGTACTTGAGTACATTTTTACATTTTTGTCTATTTTCTTGAGTATAATTAAATTGTGGTACTTTTACTTGAGTAGAATAAAACTAAAGTATTCAACTTCGCTACATTTATTTTTCACCAAAAGAGTAAAGAAAAAATAGACAAAGAAGGTGCCAATGGAGAAACAGAGCGAGCCGACGTTTGACGGGCACTTTTCAAACTTCTGGGGTGGAGCCCTGCGCTTCAGCCAATAACAGACAGGTCTGACTCGGGTGCAAAACCAAACCGCGCTGTCGTTTTGAATCAGCATCATAAGCAGTGTTTCCAGACGTACGATAATTATCGTATTTGTACGATAATTATCGTATTTGTACGACAATTTTGAACTCTGTACGATGTACGATCAATAATGAAAAAAATCCCATAATGTAAGATAATTTCATCATTTTATGACAATTCAAATGATGGTATTTGTAGTCATAGGGCTTCTATATTCATACACAAAATCGGCTCATTACAGACACTCTAAATGAGCTCATGCACACCTCGGAGTGTGTTAAGAATGCATGAGGGTGCCCTGCTTTAAAGCCAACGAGCACTGTTGCGGTCCATGACTGCAAGAACCCCCTCAACATCTGGCAAAACGCAGGCTTCCGATGACAGCGGCTCAGATGTGGAGTTAACAGCTAAAGTCTGTCTACACTGGACGTGACAAAGCGAGTGTTAAAAATCATTTTAATAAGTCATAAATAGAACGAGGCATCAGTTTACTGTCGGGGATGTGTCGTGTTGTGTCGCATTCAGTGCAAACAGTCACTGATTATAATGGTTTCTATAGTATTTTGTCACACTGCTCGCATCCAATGTAAACACGGTACGCCTAGTTAGCTATTGTGGTAATTTGCAGGTCATGTCAAAAAGTTGTTGGTTTAGATAAATAGCAGTATTCTGTACGTTTGACTCGTGTATGATAATTTTCTTCCAAATACGATAATTTTTAGCTTCTGGTACGATACTTGGACATTTCCAGTCTGGCAACACTGATCATTAGCGTTTTTCAGTATTTTAGTGAATGTGAGCTATGCTCTGATTTTAAATCGTCATTTTGTCAGCTCCTGAAATCATACCGTTGATATTACCAGAGCACACAGCAGTATAAGTAAATAGAAAACTCGGTTGATAGAAGGACAGTTATTGCATGGATGGAGCAAGAATAGTGTCTAAAATACATGCACACAGTTCAGTTGAATGATAAAAATCGCCCTCGTTAACAGTGCAGTTAAACTAAATGTACGAAGCTAAAATAACCTCAACATTAACAACAACATTGAAATTAGAGCGCATGCATTTTACTTGCATCTTACTGATCAGATGCATTTAAAATCACTTTTTCTGTGTGCGTGCTTTGGATGTGTGTGCACATCGCCGAAGAAACTAGATAGACCGGAGGATTTATTCACATCCAAAACGAGACGATGTGAATATTACGGAGTGCTCAACACTCTCATATGATGCAATGCATGTTTTATTCATACCCAAAGCCGGAGGGTGCTCTCGCGCAGAAAGTCCAAAACGACCTCGTAGAAGTAATATAGATGCAACAGGGATAGGTAGTATGTTTGCTTAACATAGCGTCAAACATGACAATTTATGAGACTAATATGTTTTTCTCCAAAATCACTATATAACATCAGTCCTGTTTGAAACACTTAGCTTCTGTGGTTCCAGGTTGGTTCTTATCACAGAACGAGACAGAAAATATTTTTTTAATAAAACCAAACAAACATTACAGTATATAAGTGTTAGGGTTAGGGTTAACACTGCTCCATAATGCTCACATCGTTTCATTTTGGGTAAAAATAGAAAAATAATACAAAAGTACTTTGTAACGCAGTACCTTGAGTAGTTTTTCAGCAAACTACTTTTGTACTCTTACTTGAGTCATATTAATTTTCAGTATTTTTACTTGTACTCAAGTAAATTATTCAATAAGTAGCAATACTTTTACTTAAGTACAATTTCTTTTTTACTATTTCCACAACTGCTGGCAACTGCTAACGGGAAACGACTCTCCTGCCCTTTAAGTTATTTTACAACCAATCCAATGGCCAAATGTTAGTCTGCTATAATAACACCTCATTTTGGTCAGAGTAATACTGCCTAAATTTAAGTTATTTTACAACCAATCCAATGGCCAAATGTTAGTCTGCTATAATAACACCTCATTTTGGTCAGAGTAATACTGCCTAAATTTAAGTTATTTTACAACCAATCCAATGGCCAAATGTTAGTCTGCTATAATAACACCTCGTTTTGGTCAGAGTAATACTGCCTAAATTTAATGAATATGAAGCAGTGAAATAAGGTCTAAATTTAAAGGTTATATTGGTCAAAAACCAAAAACTTTGCATAAGCAAACCAACAAGTGAATGAACAAACAATTTAAAATTTCACAGTGCCTAGATTTTAAGCCCTTGCCTTTGTAGCCTAATTTCCCATGGCTCTAATCACACGCAATGCTAACTTAAACTGTTCAGAGTCTACTGCACACTTTGCAAAGAAGGGCTCAGTGTGCTGTTTTCTAGAGGCGTGCGGGAATCTGTCTTACCCGGCACAGTAGTTGTCATCCGCTTGACTTGACTAAGCATGTTGTTGAGGGAGGTGATAAACCGGTGTTGGACACTGGGAAGGTCAGAGAATTCATTGATGGACTGTGCATAGGTAGGATCATTGGCAATTCTCTGCACCACTCTGCTGGAATTTCTGGTGCCAATGCCAAAGATCAAGATCCCGCTCTGTTTCAGGGCAGAGGCAGATATATCTATGTTATCGCTTGACCGTCCTCCACTGAGGAGGATGAGAATCTGAGGGACACCCGCTTGTTTTCTACTCCCCGCAGAGGCGGTGAAGACATTGTCCCTCACGTACTGGAGAGCTGCCCCAGTGTTGAGGGGTCTCCCTCCTCTATGCCTCAGACTTCTGACAGAGTTCAAGATCTCCCCCTTTGTTGTGTAGGTATTCAGATAGAAATTGACCTCTGCGTCTCTACTGTACTGCACCACGGAAACGCGGTCTCTGTTTGCATCTATGTTGAATTGCTCCACTAATCTTTGCACAAAGTCACGCATCGCTGGGAAAGTATTTCTAGTGGCATCTGAAGTGTCCAGCAGGAACACTACGTCCTTTCTGGGTATGGCGTCATCAGCTAGGAAAAGAAAACAGCGTCATTAACACCAGGACATTTCAAAACATCTTTAGAACATCACGCTAGTTCACTACCTCTTTGACTACCTAAGCTGCGAGTAATCAACAATGCACAGCCTGTCAGCTAGCTCTCGTTAAGTTCTGCAATGCACATACCGGTCAGAGTAGGGGAAGTTGGAGTGACAGGAATTGCAACATCATGGACAGAGGCCAACAGCTGCTCTTGGATATTTGGGAGCTCACTGAAGTCGGACACGGAGAGAGCATAACTGGGCGTGTATGAAATTCTCTGCAATTCTCCACTATCCGAGCCCCTCGATCCTATTCCCAAGATCAGGACGCCAAGCTCTTTCAGAGAGGAGGCTGCTGCATCGATACTGTCAAATGACCTTCCCCCACTAATCAGGATCAGTATCTGCGGCACCCCGTCCAGCCGCCTGCTGTCAGAGGAGGCAGTAAAGACATTGTCTCTGACGTAGTGGAGAGCTGCCCCCGTGTTGAGGGGTCTGCCTCCTTTGTGTCTCAGGCCTCTGACACGGTCAAGAACGTCTTCCTTTGTCGTGTAGCTGTTCAGATAGAAATGGACCTCTGCGTCTCTACTGTACTGCACCACAGAAACATGGTCTCTGTTGGCCTCTATGTTGAATTGCTCCACTACTCTTTGCACAAAGTCACGCATAGCAGGGAAAGAATTCCTAGTGCCATCTGAACCGTCCAGAAGAAACACTACGTCCTTTCTGGGTGTGGTGTAAACAGCTAGGAGGGGCAAGAAACAGCATCATTAACGCCAAGAAATATCAATAACGTTCATT